ATCTGCCAAATAGGGACAGTGATGATGATGATGATGATGATGATGATGATGATGATGATGATACTATGGTAGAATGCTTAATGGCCACAGATTCCTCTCACCCAATATGTATGCCCCTCAGCAACATGACTTTTCAGCTTTTCCCGTCAGAAAGTGGAGTCTATTTTCCTCACTCCCTGAATCTGGCCTGGCTTAATATTTGTGTTTACCAATAGAATGGGGCAGAAGTGATACTGTGTGAATCCAGAGCCTAGACCTCAAGAAGCTTGTAGCATCCACCTTTGCCCTCTGGTGAAGCTGCCGTAAACCCTATGGAAAGGAAGCTGGTGTGGCCTCCTGGAGGATGAGAGGCCGTATGGAGGAGAACCTAGATGCCCCAGCCTACAGCCAGCACGGACTATTGTGAATCTTTTAGCTCAGCTGACCCTTCAAGCTGAATGCAGCTTCAAGAGTAAACTAAGAAGAAACCAGCAGTGGAACCATTCACGCATCCAACAAAATCATGAGAAATTATAAGCTGTCATTGTTTTAAATCACTATGTTTTGGGGGGGTTTATTACACAGTGATGGGAAATGGATACAAGTACCCAACTCCAAGAGTGTATGAAAGCGCTTAGCGTAGTTCCTGACACACAAACCTTAGCTATTATTTTTATGCCTTAGAGTCTCTTCTTTGCAGATACTGTATAACATCAATGTATCTTTTCCTTCTCATCACTCAAAGGCATTCTTGATGGAAGGAAAAACACAAATATCTGACACTTTCTCTTTTGAAGTGTTTTGTGACATCTCCACCCCTACTCCCAGCCCATGTTCCAACTCCAACTCATCCTTTTATTGTGGGTCTAGGACACTGTGGTCACTCCATATATGTTAATTAGTGGTAATGATGTAATATTTCCAAGCATAAAATCTGAGCATTTCAGTTGTTATTCTTTCTTCTCTATATTGCTATCTTTGATTAAGTGTTCTAAATTCTACCTGATGCTACATACTTAAGGAACAAAAGGAATGACAGATAATTTAATAGGGTCATGAATTAAAATAGCGAGTAGGAATTAAGGACTGCTCCTGGATGAAGAATGCATTCAAAAACATGTATTTGAGATCTTTCTCAATATACATTCTGTTCCTATACATGGGAGAATTATTAAAGGGCTCTTCTACCATCTAAGTCTTTTCTACATTCTCAGCAGAGTGCTGATCCTACACTCAATGATTTTGATCACATTGTGCTGTCTATGTGACTCTATAATACCACCTTTATATTAATTTTCACACTCCCATGATGTCTGCTATATAGTAGGTGCTCAATAAATGAGTACAGAATGCATGATTGGACCAAAGTGATAAAGTGTCCAAGTTTCTTTAAAATACTAATTTTCGGTAAAAATTGGAATCACTTTCAAACTTTCCAGCCTGCCCTATCCCAGCTCCTTCACATTCCACCCTTCCCTTTTTCCCCACCCCTTACTAGGTTAACTCCATACTCCTGTAAGCTCAGTTCAGATATTCCCTCCTCCAGAAGACATTCCCTGAAACCTCCACACCAGGATTCTCCCTTTTGTATTCTCTAAAAGCCCGTGTATATCTCTATTTCCCTCAACACCTTGGCAGATGTTGAGTCCCTTCAGGGCAACCATTTTGCCATTCATCTTTGTGTCCTAGGAAAGAATAGCAATAGCAACTATTATTTCCCAAATGCTTACTAAGGACCAGGTTATCTCTCTCAATCCTTGCAACAGCCCTCAAAGGTGGGGGTTCCATTTTGCAGATGAGGAGACTGAGGCTTGGAAAGTTTAAGTAACTTGTCCTGGTCACCTTGCTAGGAAGAGGAAGAGTCAGGACTTTGAACTCAAAAGCCTGAATTTTCTAGTACTCTGTGTTCTGACACTAGTTTGGTTCTCAAGAAATGTTTGTTGAATGGGTGAACATGTTCCAAAGTTACTAAGTTAGCCGCCATCATTGTCTCCTTTTCTCTTTTTCTTATACTGTGTGTGTGTGTGTGTGTGTGTGTGTGTGTGTGTGTGTTTACAGGGTGAAGTTGAAGGATGATTAAGAGATGAAATGGGGAAAATAGAAGAAAAAAGGAACTGGATAATTAGTTCTTCAATGAAACACTAGCTACATTAGATAATATAAACATATTAAACACTAGATATACTCAAACTTCAAAACATTTAGACTATAAAAATCATGGCTACTCAACATGACCATCCCACTTGGACATTGGCAATAAATAGGTCATTTGTCACCCAAGTGGCCAACAATTCCATCCACTTCCACACCACTCCAATCTACTCAACTCCCAGCACTCCTTTGCACTCTCCCATTCTAATTTCCCTCCACTTTGCTTTGCTTCTCCTCACTTATTCTACTCACTCTGCCCCCCTCCACTCCACTCCTTTTCATTCCACTCCATTCCGTTCCATTGATTCCATTCCATCCCCTTCACCTCTATTCCATTTTGCTCCACTCCATTCCATTTTATTCCATTCCATCTTTCCTTTTTTCCTTTCTTTTCCACAAAACCTTATTAAGTAGTAAGCACTTTGTTCAGGTCCTAGGGATACAAAACCAGATAAATACAGAGCCTATGCTCCAAAAACTCATATTCAGATTTGTCCTGTCATCACTCAATAAAAAGCCATCCCAACCCACAGCCCAATTAGACTAAGTCAATCCAAAATTCTCACAAACCAGGTGCTGTCTGCTAAAGAAAAAAACGGGCACACAGAAATTTTCTTTTTACACAATTCCAAGCAATTAAGTCAAATGATTTTACTCCTCTCTTAAAACTCTCTAGACATCCAATGTTGAGATAGAGTACCTTTTGGAATTACTTTCAAAGGACAGGCATTTTTATATCCCCAGTGACTCATTTTCACCTTTCAAAGTAACTAACTTCAGCTGTTTATAATTGACTGTTATAAAGTTAAAGCTCCTGCTAGATCAAATAATGATCTAGCAGAGATGCCTAGACTAAGGTTTTAGAGTCATGGAGAGCTGTAGTTGTAGAAACTGTCTTTGGAAAGAGCATAGCTTTTACACACTAGCTCCCCAGCACATAGTCAAGATTTCACCTAAGCTTTAAGAAAAGAAAACCTGGAACATCAGATGGCTGGCTGCATAGTCATCGTGGTGCCCTACCCGGGAGCTCACATAAACACCACAATGGATTTCGCTGTAGAAAAAGGCAGTCCAAGGCTGCAAACCCAGCTCTGGGACTGGGTCACATGAGCTCTGTAGCAGTGCTGGCTTGGCTCCAGCGGGTGGGTGGTGGGCCTGCAACAGAGCTCTGGAGCTGGACTCATTCCACCAGAGTCCAGCCACCTCTTGGACCTTTCTCTGTGCTTCACAATGGTCAAGCCTGGGCAAAAATGGGAGAATATTCTTTTGCTAATAGACAACCCTTTAGTGTGTTTTTATTGCAGCTTTTAGCCAATATGTTTTTTATTTGATACACATTTTTTTTTCTGTGTATTATACATATTTGAGCTCAGATGTAAACGAATACTCTTGTAAACTGATGTTAGAATGAAAGTTTTAGGTGAGGCACATTCAGCCAAAATGAGGAGGTGCTCCACCAAGAAGCATTCATTTTCAAAAGTAAATGGTGAATCTCTCACTCACATCGGTGGTTGAAAAAATTAGGGAGTTGGAGATTCAGGGAGAGCACAGGGCCAGTTTATGGTGGTATCCTTAAGGCATAGCTCTGTTGCTTCCATATCCTGCCTTCCTTTCCCACTTTCCAAGCTCAGACAGATCTGAAACCATAATTATTGAGCTAGGAGATGTGGGTAAAAAGTTAGGCAGGAAGTGAGAGAATTTGAACATGTTTCCCTTTCCCTACTTTAAGCTCAAACTGGGTGGGGTGATGGGAGAGAAAAAGCTAACATTTAAGTCAAATTTAGAGTTTGGGTTATTTCCTGGAGTGGATATTTTTGTAAATGAATTGAGTGAGTATTGAGTTTTAAAGTGATGTAAAGAGTGTCTGGAAAAGTAATGGGGCCTTCCTAACTTCTATTCAGAGGCAAGGGAAGAACTAGGTCACAGGGAAGATTTATAGTTAAGGAAAAGTGGAGATAAAAATAAAGTCCCATGAATTATTGAATGTACTGGCTATATTCGTTTTGTGATCAATAATGAAGTATGTGCTCATAGCTGGGAACCATGTGCAATATTAAATTCCGCACAATGCAAAAAGATAACAGAGCACTAAATGGCTGTTAGTCATTTGAATAGTTTTGGGCTTTTACTTTCTTAAATGATTTGGGTTGTTTATTAGAAAATAGCTAAACACGGCCAAGTGGAACCTTAGCTTTTTTGATTTGCTATAGTTATACTGTTATTGCCTAAATGGTGGCCTAAAACTGTGAATGGAGAGTAAAACTAAAGAAATGAACACCTAAACAGACTCCTTTGAACAGACTCCTTTGACTGTGACATCACTGCTTCTCATCATTGGACTTATCTGTCACCTTGTGCACTAAAGGTCACAAGTAGGTTTGAGGATGTTGATGTCGAAGTGATATGTGATTTTTGCTTATTTTGAACCGTGCTCTCAAATCAATTATAGTGATTTCTGAATCTGCCATTGCTTTGTAACTCTTTCCCCTCTCTTAGAGCATAAACGATTATGATATTATGATATATGTGCAGTGTCACCTGCAAGGTACCGATTTCAATTTCTATCTTTTGGTTTCAGCCATGCATAAGACCATGAACTCTGTCTTTGGTTCAGAAAATGTGGTGACCCTACAGGAGTACAGTTATGTCATAGCAGCCTAATTATCTTCACCTTATAAAGATATAGAAATTTTAATTGAATTTCAAAGATTTTCTCATTGTGTAAAATGATTTCATGAACAATTAGCAGTTGGACACAGAGTGCTTGATCCCCCACTACAGTGAGGATATTTTCAGCAAGCAAGTCTTTTCAAGCGATAGGCTTTCTGAGACCATTCGTAAACCACACTCCACACTCGCTCTCTTTTTACCTCTTCAGTGGTGCTGGAGAAGGGCTGAGTAGTCAACGGAACCCACGATGTGTCTGTGATTCCAGTCGTGTGCAGATTAGGGTGCTGCCTCTCGCTGCTGTTTTGGCTGTAGCTTTCTGTAGTATTCTTGATGAAGGCCTCTGTGGTGTTCCTAGTAAGGTGTTCCGGACTATACGGAACTGCATTAAAAGCAGTCAGGGTCTGAGGAGGAGCTGTGTTTCTGGGGCACCTGTCTGAAACTTCTGTTCCCAGGACAGCTGAGGTTAAAAAAAAAGACAGTTCTCATGTTTTATGGATTCTTCACACAAATACAATTTTACTTAGAAAAAGAAAACAATAATGAACACATGGATAAGCTTCAGTTACATGAAAAAGCAAATATATGTTGCGTATGTGACAATCTTCATTTGTCCATCCTTTACCCATCTATCACGGTAGAGGGAGAGTTATAGAAACTGTGCTATCAGAAAAAAAAAACTCAGCTCTGCATAGAAGACAGAATTAAATTTATTCTATGAACATTCACGGGGTTGTTGAATTGGCTTTAGGGGTCCTTGACTCTCCATAAACTTTGTGCAAAATTCTGTGTATATATATATATATATATATGCATCTGTACTTTTCTTCTGTGGGGTACTCTCATAGTTTATGAACTTCTCAAAGGGGGCTTAGACAACATACCCAGTGGAGAAAATCACTGTTCATGACTTGCCTAACCTCACCATGAAGACTGAGGATTCCTTGGAAAGTAATGACACTTCTTTAACCACAGTGAAAACTGTTCCTAATCCTAATTGTGTGAGTCTCAAATCATGAGACAGTTGACTTTCTAAGCCACCTATCTTCTGAAAGAATAGTGCATAGATTTAAAATTTGTGAGCTGTGAGGTTAATTTATAGCTTTGCTTTGCAAGGCTGAATTGCCCATATGTTAAAAAATACTGATTTATGAATTAGGTTCACCTAGCCATAATTTAAAAATGTACTCTCTATCCCCTGGGGATGTTGCTAGTATGCAAATTCTGATGCAGTAGAGATTGTCAGATTCAGCATTTCTAACAAGCTCTCAGGTAATGGTGATGTTGCTGGTCTTTGGACCATAATTTGTATAGCAGAACTCTAGGACACAGTTGTATAACATGAAGCATTGGGAAGCATTATTTTTCACCACTCATTTACTGGGTCATTCATTCAAACAACTATTTATTAAGCAACTGCTGTGCGTCAGGTGGAGGTCTCCTAAAGAAGCTATTAATCATCACATTTTCCCTGTCCTGGTCTGCCTTACTCACCCCTCTTTTGAGCCTCATTCCTTTCCAATTTCAACTGATTAATATATTTCATATGTTCATGTATGTAAAGAGGGGGATGAGACACAAAAAGGGCATCAAGGTGGAAAAGGTATTTTTACCATTTAATAAGATACAAATATCAGCAGTTCTCCTAAAAGTGAATAAAATAATCTTGGCTATTAAGTATCCTTTCCTTGAGATGCGTCAGGTTGTACAAAGTACCTTATACGCAGAGTTGACAGATTTAGTAAATAAAAATATGTGATGTTCAGTTAATTAGAATTTCAGATAAACAACCAATAAATTTTTAGTATAATTAAGTATATTTGGTATATCCCAAATGTACAATAATACAAAGATTATATTATATATTATATTGTGTATCAGGAATATACTTATGCTAAAATTTATTTATCTGAAATTCAAATGTACCTGAGTGTTGTACATATTATCTGGCAACCCTACTTGTACGTCTGCTAGATCTAAGCTTTGATAGATTTTTAAACATTCCCCTTAGTTTCCGTTTGTTTTTATTTTTCCAAATCTTGTGCCACTGTTACTGCCTTTGTGCCAGGGTTAGTCATTCTGGACATAGACCAGGATATTTTTTTATCCTTGGGTTGTTTTCTACATGACAAACTCAATCATACTCTTAGTGAGATTCCTTTACAACAAACTCCAATAAGCAGTCTTAATTCTGTAGTCTTAATTGAGTTACTTGCTTGAATGTTCCCTTAAGCAGACATTTGTCTATTGTAAGGGTATAAAAATCTTTGTGTATGGAGATCAGCCTTTTGGTCATTTTGAGCTTAGGCCAACGTTGATCCTCTGAGTCAACTACTACAATTTTAGCTCTTAGATCCTCAAAAAAAAAAAAAAAATTTAACCATGGGGTTAGGACGAAAACAAGTTTCCAAATACCTAGCATGTAATTACATGTCTTAGCATGTCAACCTATGCTTACTCTTCTTCACTAAGGAGCAGTTGGTAAGTTTTTATTCTAAAAAATTTTTTTTATTAGTCAACTTACATAATTAATTCAGTGGATGAAATTGGACTCTCCCGAAATTAGATAAATGGTCAAAACACTCTTGAAATTTCTTCTGCAAATAACTTATTACCATTGCATGTAGCTTTGGACTATCTTATGGAAAAAAGTTCTGTCTTCTGTGATTGTCTTTAATTAACCTTCTAAATATATTTTTAAAATCCCCAAACCAAACAAGTTCATTTTCTGTTTTAGGCCACCACCTTTTTTCCAAAGAAAGACACTACAGAATATTCAGGTCCAGTACCCCTTCATTTGTGTCTGTGTTTTAACTTGCACTATTTATGAAGCAAGAAAGAAGTTTTAGCCTTAACATTCAACTTCCAGATCTCAAGAAATTTAAAGCAGTAGTTTGCGAACATTAGTAGGAATCAGAATCAGCTTTGGGGTTTGTTAGAATATTGAAGCATGGCCCTCCTCCTAGAAATTGTGATTCAGTAGATTTGCTGTGGGACCCAGAACCTGCTTTTTTAACAAATTTCTCAGGTTTTTCTAATATATATGCAAGTATATGGTTTTAGTCATTTATACAGAATCAGCTTTGGGGTTTGTTAGAATATTGAAG